CACAATAGTTTCTTTCTTTTCTTCTTTTTCCAAAGTTGTGAATGATGGTAGACATGGATAATGTCAAAGATGATAGCAGCAAACACAGATTTGATCTTACAATTCGTGCCTCTTGAAAATTTAAGGGACTTTGGTCTTATCCATGCTGTTACAGATGAATTGCTTTCATTTATTTCTCTTCTCTTTTGTAGTGAACCAATCTAAAAGTAATAGAACCAGAAGAATTTTTCTTAATAGTTTGTCTCTAAAGATAGTTTCCTTAGTGTATAAGGGGAAAAGATCAAATAAAGTGTTTGCAGCAGATTCAGCAATAGCAGAATAAGTATAGTAATGCATGAATATACATAGGGAAAAATGAAAGATGGATCGCCTTGTTCTTATCCAATACTCTAGGCTTCAATCGAAACCAGTCATTGCATTTTAAAAATCTCCAACCCTTTTTCGTGTAAAAGGGTGCAAAGCCCTGAAATCGACTCAAAGTCTTAATATATTTCGGATAAGATTTCATCCATCGACCAATTTGGCATCTGGGGAATAATCTATTTTGTGTACTGCTATAGCATGACATTGCTTTAAACAGGGACATGAATCTAACGTTTCATAATTAAAATAACTCAATTAGGTATCTTGATGGTGAATATAAACAGAATGATATCCATGGCTGCTAGATATCTATTGCTTTAATACAAGTTAAGAACATCTAAACAAAATCAACCAGGATACGACAGTAACTCAAAACAGAAACATCAAAACAACGGGTGAGCAAGAACCAATCTAATCCAATTATGGAGTGACTTGAATCCCAATTTCAGGGCAGAAGTTTGTTTATTCATTTATTGGCTGGTGTGCCTTGAAAGAGGCAAGAGAGGGGCCCCGGGTAAATAAATTTTTGTTGAAAACTACCTACAAACTGGCTAGCAAGTCATTCTTTAGAAAATTCTGATCATAAATGTAAATGCATTGCTTGAAACTATATGTGGACTTTCTAATCCTTGACTCTGGAGTCAAAGCATTGTGCTCAGCCTTTGCAAGTTGATACACTAACTTGTAGACAGGTCTTAGGTTTTATTCCCATGAAAAGTACCAATCCGAATAAAGAGTTTTACCAATTTTAAGGACAGTGGGAGCTTTGGTATATTTCCAATCGATTCCTAACTAAAAATTGGCTTGTCTAGTAATTAATCTCTAAACCTGTTAAAACAGGACCAGATTGTTCTTTTGTTAAGAATAATTAGTGAGATGACTGTTGCCAGTGGCAGGCATCAAGATTTCGACTCAACCATCAGGAAATGTGGCCTAAGTGTGGGAAAAAAAAGGTTGTAGCATGTGATAAGATGGGTCGGCAGAATCAAAATAAAACCCCGGGGAGATATCATTACCTATTGATTTCTGGGACCCATCCGGATGTAAACCCCAACCTTTTTTCCAAGGAAAACTAAAAGTTTTGAACAATCAAACATCACCCTTTACCTAATCTTAATCACTCAATTAATCATGGAAGCCAAAAGGTTAATTACGCATCATCCTTTTTGCTTTCTGAAATAACTAATCTGCTATTCCTTCCCCAGGGCCTGCCAATGTCCTAGTGCAGAAAAGCAGATAACAGCAGACACATATACACTTTCTTCAAAGCTGATTGTTTCTCAAGGAATTGAAAGCCTTGCCCCTTTAAGGTTTGCCGGATACCAACAAGCAATATGCATAAGTTCTTAATACCTCTAATCAAATTTGTCGTGCTTTTGATGAATATACACAAAAAATTATCGACTTGAACCTGAATTCAAAGATTATAACACGAAAAAATTTAATATTCTCTCTGTCTCAAATTTACCAAATTTTGATTTTTATTGTTGAAAATTGAATCAATTAGGACAAATTAATTGAGAGAGAGAAAAAGTAAAGAAAACCAATGGTCCCCTTCCTCTTGCCTAATTTGGATTTGAAAGAGGTGCAAACAAAATTTTCGACATTAAATTATTCATTCAAGCAACTCTTTATTTTTTTTTTAAGAGGACACTTGATTCCTCATTGCCCCCCTTGACTTGACATGCTACATGTGAATTATTCTTTAGAATTATCATCTGGGTTATTGCTTTTTTTGACAGTTTAACTAAGATACTATAAAATCAAATGGTACTTGATTACCATTTAATCATCAAATTGCTAAAGGTAATTGGTTTAGATCACTGGTAGAATCAACATCTGCTGGTCAATCAGAGAATTAACAAAATAAAACAAAAAAGAAAACGTTAAACTTGATTAGGAACAAAGGGTTAAAAGTCTTGAAAGAGAAGGAGAGTGGAAAGTTCAAGTGACATGCACTAGTATTAAGAATTAACATTGTTCTTATCCTCCACCAAAGATCTTGACCCTGTGTGGAGTCTCCTTCTCTGTCATTGTGTTGTTTGTCCTGGCTTGACTACTCAAGCAACGAAATCTTCTGAATTCTTGTGGTTTTGTTAGTCTCAATAATAATATAAAACTATACACGAGTAACACAACTTTCTGTGGAAATTCACTCTGAAATTCTTTCCTGACTGTAACTACCATAGTATACGAAAATTTAACCATTAATTGTTGGGGAAGAGGTCGAATGGGCGTGTCTGACGGGGTTGCCCCGATACCTAAGCTCACGGTTGGCAGCGTCTGGCATTGAACAGAGCTGAAGTTTGAAGTGTGCGATCATTTCCCAGAGAAGGAAAAACTGCAGTTTTTTTTGTTTACCTTAGCTTTTGTCAGGTTGCTTTCGTACAGTTAGTTCGGGCCTCACGTGATAGAACCTCCTTTTCTAGTTTCCTGCTTCAACTCTTTGCTTGGTCATGGCTTCTCAAAGGATACCGCGCGTGATCTTCAAACCAAACCTTTTTGCCCTGCTTGTGGGGGAGAGAGAGAGAAAGGGGGCAGCTTGACTTTCCTGACAGAGTGAGAACTTTGAACCAATCAATGTTTCATGGATTTCATCACCTTCCACGACCAAAACACGAGTTCACATTAACATATGCCTGCTTCGTCCTGTTTTTTTTTTTAGAGTCTTCCCATTTGATCAGAACTCAGGATTTTCCCATGCAAAAAGCTCGATGGGATACAGAATTTTTCACGCTTACAATGAGCTTTCATTTGCTTTTCCCTTTTCCTTTCGGTTTGCACGTCATTAATTCGAATGTGATAACCTAAACCTACACAACAGTTGAGTTCAGAACTCTTCCATGACTACCTTTTTCCCCCCCTCTCCTTTTCTCGAGAAAATGATTATGGCCAACTGAGATTCCTGATAGGCGAAGGGTGTTGATCAGTTTCTCCTGCTTTTCGAATGTACCTGTGATAGGTTGCCAATTCTGAAAACAAAGTTAGCCCATATGATGAATTGTATATACAATCAACTGCAAATTACTCATAATTTAATAGAATCGTGATCACCAATCAGGATTATATATCTTTAGCTTCTCCAATCCCCATAATCCGGGTGTAAACGTGAGAGATTAAGGAGTAAGAGTAAAGCATTCCAAAACAATGATAATTTTGTATGATAACCACAGGGAATGAAGTTAAAGCTCCAGGATCAAAACCCACACCACATATTCGTCTGCTGGTCATCATCAATCAGTTCCAGGATGTCTGTAATCAATTAGACATGCAATCTCCTTTTTCTATACTGCAAAACAGCAAAAAGTTTCCCAAAAATTGTCTTGTTGGAAAAATATGCAGGAAGTTTTTACTTTCTTTGGGTTCCCCCAAACTTCTTGGTTTCTGAGGTTGAATCTATGATTACAGGATTCACTGTCCAGGAACCCAAAGTGCTTTATTGCTTTTGATATGTAATTATGTTGGAAAATAAGGAAATTGAAATTGGGAACAAGAATTGTATGAAAGTTAAAAAATTTAAAGACTTAGCATTTCGAGCATTTAGTTTATTAATTGATGCATTATCTCCTACCTAATAGAGTAGAATTCGAATCTCCTCTTCCATAAATATAAAAAAAATCAATGACTTAAATCAGTTGAAAACTTGTTCCTCAACATGCATAATTAAATAATACATGCTTATATAGAGTACTATCTTTTAGTTTAAAATATAATGTGCAGCTGTATTTTTTGAGAATACCTTTGAATTCAATGCAAAGTTGCAATACTATCTTTTAGTTTAAAATATAATGTGCAACTGTATTTTTTGAGAATACCTTTGAATTCAATGCAAAGTTGCAACTATATCAAACAAGAAGTTGCAGATGAAAACCATTCTTTCCCTAAACCCAAAAAGTATAAGGTTAATTATACTTGTAAAAATTAGTAATATATTTATACACTATCAATAAATTATAAAGTATCACTTCATAATTATATAAAAATAAAAATTCAAAAATCTTGAAATTTGTTAACGAATCGATTTGATGATATCTGATCCATTGATAATGTATAGAATATAAACCGATTTATTTATCCTATATCACCAATTTAATATACCCCCAATTAATGCTTTTCCAAAAATGTTGATAAGCAAAACCAAATTAAACCTAAGCTAGGTGCAGAAAAAAAGTTTAGAATATATATGTTGTTGGGTAGGGCTTAATTTTGTAAAATAAGGTTACAATGGGTCATTCTGAAATGTATAATAAATACATTTCTTATGATTTATTAATTCTCATATAGTTTCAAAAAAAATAAAAAATAAAAAAAGAAGAAGAAGAAACAAAGAAAGCAGAAAGGTGAAAGGAGGTCCCACTATTATACTTTTCTAATGGGAAAGATCGACATGCGACACAGCGAGAAAAAGCAATGGACCCGTTCGAGCCCGTCCGTTTCTCCTGCGGTGTCTGCCTGCAGTCTGCGCACCACCTAACCTAACTCAACCCCCATCACACCCGTTCCCCACCACTCGTGGGTCTGCCCCATGGTTCACCCCATGTTCCGTCAGGTTCACTCGCACTCCATGCCTATATAATTATTCAATAATCATTTCATTTCCCTTTAAATTTTTTAATGAAAAGGCATTTGGCCATGTGTATATAAACCCCGTCGAATCTATTCAATTCATCAGTTTCCGAAGCACCGTACCAAGAATTATTAAGTATACGACTGCTACCAGCTTCCAACTCTGTTTTTCTTTCTGTTTAATATCCTTCGAAAGCAACCTTAAACCTTCTCCTTTCGTTTCCTATTCTTTCATTGTCTTGTTGAGCAAGGCATGGCTTCCTTTGAATTTGATAACGTTAAGGCAGAGAAAGAAGATGCTCTATGGAGATACAACATGGAGAGGAAGCTGAGGATGGGTCTTCGATTATGCGGGTTTTGTTTGGCTTTGTTTTTGCTGTTGTGGTCATGGTTCCCCACGTTGATTCCTGATACAGTCGAGGTTGCCGGAGACTATGGCCGCTGTTTCGTCTCCACCTTTAACAAGCCTCTCTTCACTTTCATACTTGTAAACATCATCATCCTTGCTGTTTATATTTTGTCTAGCCAGAAACAGTCCCAGAAACAAACCAGCTGCCCCGACCTCTACGATGAGTACGTCGGCTCTCGCCGGAGTAACCCCACGTCCGTCGTCGCCGCGGCCTACAACTCTCCGGTTGCGGAGGAGACCATGGTTGACAAGAAAATCATCCTGGTAGAAAATGCCCTTGCTCTTTCTCCTGTAAAGCAGCAACCCACGACAGTCGACACAGTTACAGAAACAAAACGTTCCCCTTCACCAGCTAAACAAACTACGATGATCCGTACAGCAGTGAAAAAGACAAAGCCTGCCGTTTCTGCGACCCCTGAAGCCAAGACAAAGGAATACCGAAGAACTCGATCAATGGTCTCAGAATCTCGAAACCAATTACCCCGGGAGTTTCTGAGATCCGACACAGCTATCGGCAGGGAGCTGGTGGTTTCAGGCGGAGACCCGCCGAGGAAATCAATGGATGAGATGAGCAGCGAAGAGTTTCAGTCGATAGTAGATAGTTTCATTGCTGAAAGAAAGAGAACTCTGCTGCAGGAAAACACTGCTCATTACACTAGGAGGAAAGACAAGTGCATGTCTATCGTGGTCAAGAATTAGGAATTTGTTATGGAGATTAGAGTGAACTTAGTGAGTTAAATTCTGAAAATCTACCTCCATTTTCAGAATTATTAGGTTTTCGGGACATATATTAATTACTGTCTGGGATTGTACAGTGATAAAAACTTCCCTGGTTTTGTGGGAGCAGAAATTAAGACAAGTTTTATGGGATCTTGTGCTTTTTTTTTATTGCTTTCCTTTTTTTTTTGTCTTTTTATTGCCTGTTGCCTTAATCTGTGAATTGGACATTCGTTTAACTGCTCTGTGAATCTATGGTGTTCCTGCCTTGCTCAGTTCAGTCGACTCTGAATCATATGCAATTCTGGTTTTATTCTTTTTTTGGGGTTTTCGGACGAGCAAGTGTTTGTCAAAGGCCTTAAACTACGAACTAGCAGCCACGGCAATTCAGGGACAATAAAGCTCCTGAAGTCCTGCTGGCATGTCTGCTTTGGGTTGGGTGTACAGATTTTGGAATATTTGGGTGTTCCTTTGCAGAAAGAAAAAGAAACTATGATTATTCCATTTTCTGTTTGTCTCTTCCTGACAGGCGAAACCATTTCAACTCCTTTAAAACTTCGTTTTACATCCGTGGCAATGTCTTCAGCTTCATGCAAGTTTAACTGCAGGAATCATTCCATTTGTTAATTTGAATTATGTTTCGATTTTCCTATGGCCTTTCATTTGTCATGATTATGAAATCGATATGTATTCCAGTTTCAGTCAACATATCATTTTCTTGGAGTCCACCAACTTCCAGTTTTGATTCTTCTTCCAGCTCGTGTTTGACTCTTTCTTTTTCTCTTTGCCTAATCAAAACCCCAAAGACCCAAAGGTACAATGATGAAAGGCCAACAACAGTGTACAAATGCTATGAGAAAATCTCTAGTACATTGAAAGAGCAAAAAGGGTTGGGCATATGCTTCATGAATACCCAATCATGAAAATTACACTGTTATTCTGATTATAATATTCTTTACACTGCTACTTAAGTGCATTAAAAGCACTTTACTCCTGCATAATGGAGTAATAATTTAGAATGTTTCAGATGGAATTTACTACCAAAAGCTTGAAATCTTCCACGGGAAAGTCAGTAACTTTTGCTCTACTTTTGGCACGCCCTGTACCTATAAACTAAGCAGCTCTGTCTTAATCCATCTTTAAATTGTGTTTATCATCATTATCTACACTAAGTAGTGGGGGCTTTGAGGAAACTTTAGACACTCCTAGAGCTAAAAAAGAGAGGATTTTTTCTGCAATCCCAGACAAAAGTTCCCACCACCAGCTTTTCTTTTCCCTTCCTTAATTCTTCGTGTTGTCCCTTGAAGTGACATGCGATAAATTCTTCTTCTAGGAGTTCCTTTTTTCCTGAAAATTTTGAAACAGGTGGGCAGCACAATAATTCAGAGAAGCATATTTCATTTACCTGCCAGGCTGCAAGCTAATCTTTGCAAAAGAAAAACTTGGGTTTGATTTGGTCTTCAGTGCTTGACAAAAGGGACCCATTTTTGGGATAAATAAGAGGGGCTGAGGTTGAAGCAAATAGTGGTTTAGGCGGTGGTTGCAGGGGAACATTGCCTTTGGAGTGGGGTTGAGGCCTTGTGGGCTGTGGGGTATTTCATTATACGTAAGCTTCTTTGTAATCAAGTACCCTGCTTCTTATCCACTTGTTCTGAAAATTCTGCAACAAAAAGGGAAAAAGAGGTTCTTCTTGTTTATTAGCAATCACCCAGCATTTCTTCCCCTTTTGTTGTTCCTCAGCTTGTCAGTTCCGCCAACTGGTGTATACATAAACATTAAACTTCTCAATTATTTCGCTCCTTTGCCAGAAGCTCTTTTTTGTTCCGTACAAATGGCACATATTCGGGGAGGTCCTTAAATAACCCATCAGTAATATTGTGTATGCCACATTTCAGCATGATTGTTGCTATCTTGGACCATCCCCATCTGCTTCACTTTAGCACCAGCAAATTGACTATATTCTTTAACAATTTAATTCATCCCTTCCTGTTAGTGCCATTCAAGTTCTATAATTGCAGATAAAACTGAGAGCAAAATAACTTGTCAAATTTCATTTCTCTAGATTTTGAGCCTCAGCTGTGAACTTCCATGATTCTGGATCTTTTGCAAGTTGCAGCTTCTGTCTTGTGAACCTCAGAACATTGGAAACCTCCACCGTTGAAATTCCAATATAGTATCTGTCATCATGGAAAATGGAAGACTACTGTTTCTGCGAAAGTATGCTGCGTGTAACTTTTATGTTATAATAATAGTAATAGTAATGATACCGCAATTATAATATGAAAAACTGAAAGTGTAAACGAAGGCAAAACAAATCTAAAAAAATTTCTTTTATATAACATAATAAATTTGTCTTCATGTTGGAGCAATAATATCCTTGTCTCTGAAGAGTGTCATCTCAGGTCTACATCTACTGCTCACTAGCTGTCATATGTTCAAAAGAGGACCCATCATTTATTTGCCCTTTTTTTCTTTCTTTTTTCTTGTTTGAATAAAACCACTAGAACTCTCAGTTTTCTGTACCATTTCCATGCGCTTTCTGCAACAAGCGGCAGCCATGAAAAGACTCCTTTGCTGCTCCTTTTTTAAGCTTTAAATCTCGACTTCTGATGGTGGGTGAGAAGTCATTTTGATTAATCACTCAGTTTCTTAGAAACTTCAACGAGGGAGACCGGACATGGGGTTACACCACTAGATTACATTTGAGTCGGTGACAATCAAAAGAGGTCTATAAACAAATGAAAAGAAGCATTACTTGATTGGTCAAGTCAACATCATGATACTATAATAAGATTTGTAAGAGAAAGAAAAACTTAACCCATGTTTGCAACTTATAATTTTTGAAAGAAAAATTTGTCCCCACGCTTGTTCTTTTGGTTCCAAACTGTACCCAAGTCTTTATTTATATGTGTTTTTGTTTGGTTAAACCTATTGTTTAATTTCATTATTGACTTATTTAACAGCATAATTCCTCCCCAGCTCCTAATTCTTTCTTTCTGCTGGCCCTAACATACAGTCCAATGTTCAATAAACCATACCCATTTAAAAGAAGAAAAAAGTAGGGAGAAAAGAAAGTTCATAACCGGTGGACCTGTCTCTGTCTTTGTGGGCCTTTGCAAAGAAACTGGTGGCATGTGCTTTTAAAATCGGAGCACATATGTTTGTTGAAGCAAGTCAACTAGTAGAACCAAAACTAGCTACAATTCTTGACCTTTTGTCTTTTCGGACTAGTGATTTTTTTCACCTAGTTATATTCTTTCCCTCCAAGATTTGGCCATTTAGTACATTTGGCCATTTAGTACCATACTTAAATGGTCCATCAACAATTGAAAAAAGTAAACCATGAACGTTAATATTACATAAAAAGATATGTTACCGAAAGAAGTATAATTAAAATTAAAATATATTGTAGTATGGTATCTGATTGGAGGGTAGGATTAGGTATGGGGTGAGGGGTTCTCATCCATTCCATTAATAGTTTTTGCTTGGTTGGAGAGATCGCCGGCTTTTATCAAATTGAATTGTAGAGAAAAAAGGGGTTGGCAATGGGGTTTTGTTGGAATCAATACGCAGTGTAGGTGTAGCGAAGATAGCTTTATTTAATGCTAATGATAATATACTTGCATTACTTATCCAATCCAACTTTAAGACCAGCACAAGTGTTCGTAATTTTTTTTTGGTATCACGGTAATCTCTGTTTACATATCAGCCTGCCAATCATCTCTAAAATGGAAGACAGAAGTGAAAAATGATTTAAGTCTAAA